TCAAACAAATAACCAGCCTGAGTCGGTCCACTGTCGATCAGAGACACTTGCATTCAAATCATTAGCGTTGCTCCAAAGCCAGTTATGAGATAGGTCGTAAAAGCCAAAATAATTTGCACACGCATCAGGCAGCGTGAAAACGACTTTAAACGAGGAGAAGACAAACAATGGTAAGATTCAGTCAAAAGGTCATTCGACCGATCCGCCAAACGGACGATGCAAGAATGTTGGAAGGGGTCTGATACCTGAGAATGCGAGTGATTGTATAACTACAACCAGTTGAAATACAAAAGACTGAAAATAAAAAAAGATTGAAACATCCTACTCTATATAATTCACTAAGTATGTCTGTCAGTGTGTGTATGTTTGTGTGCGTCTGTCTGTGTGTCACGAAATTCATAGCGCCGGTCCCAGTAGCAGTGAGACATTGATTTCAAGAAGTGATGTAGGCGATGTGACGGGAACACTATTGGTGGGTGACAGGAAGTGATATCAGTTGATAAGATCCGATAAGGGCCATGGAAGAGGAGGGTCACCGAATTCGTAACGCAGGTGACAGCAACAGTAGGACCTTGGATCCGGGAGTGATATAGGGTGTGGGAAAGGAACATTACTGGCAGGTGAAGAAAGTGATAACAGTTGATAAGATCCTATAAGGTGCCTCGGAAGGGGAGGTTCACCCATAACGCAGGTTGCAGCAAGAGGGGGACCTTGAATCCGAAAGGTGATATAGGGTGATATGATAGTGATATGGGACGCGAATATTATTAGCGAGTGACGGAAGTGATAGGAGCTGAAAGTGACAAGTTAACATGGGAAAATCCGCTTCACCGCTCACAACAACATGAATCGATATGACTCAAGTATAACGATCTCAATGTTTCCACAACTCATTCCTCACCGCTCATCATAGTGAAGAAATCATGTACGACCGTTAAGCTAGCTCTATTCCAAATGCATGGGGTTTGTTTACAGAGATGTTATGAACAGCAGCAATTGACTTAATCACTCTTACCACAATTATCTTCCATCAACAACCTTAGTGAGGGCCATTTAAAGGGTTCCACTGCTGAATGCGGGAGTGCATTCCAAAGCAAGACGCTTTAAGAGGACAGAATGCATGAATCATAGGCTGCTTCGGCGCTAACTAAGGCTGCGTTTATACTTTGCGGCAGCGTAGCGTAGCGTAGCGCAGCGTAGCGTAGCGCTTCCAGCGTACGCCAGCGGCAGTGCCGAAGAGAGGATGCATATCGATCTAGCTTCACCAGCGTCACCAGCGGCACGCTGGCGTACGCTAGCGGCACGCTAGCGTACGCCAGCGTTTCTCCAGCGTTTCACCAGCGTTTTGCTAGCGTTTGCAGCGGCAGGGGAGTAGAGACTATGGGGGTGCAAACACATCGATTGCGCGTCTCTCACTCGCCCTTAGTCTCTACAATGCACATCGCTTCTGCGTCTCCGACGGCCACATAGTCTCTACAATACACGTCGATTCCGCGTCTCTGCCGGCCACATGGTCTCTACAATACACGTCGATTCCGCGTCTCTCACGGCCACATAGTCTCTACTCCCTGCCGCTGCAAGCGCTAGCAAAACGCTGGTGCCGCTGGAGAAACGCTCGAGAAACGCTGGTGAAGCTAGATCGATAGCTATGCTTCCCGTGCCCTCGCTACGCCAGCGTGCCGCTGGTGACGCTGGTGAAGCTAGATCGATATGCATCCTCTCTTCGGCACTGCCGCTGGCGTACGCTGGAAGCGCTACGCTACGCTGCCGCAAAGTATAAACGCAGCCTAACAGGCTGCAATGTTCCCGTGTAGGTGTGAACGTACCAGTCGGATCGCTGGCTGAGGCCGGTTCTCTCCTTTCTGTGATGCAGATGATCCTGCTGCTTCTGCGTCTTGACGTGTTCAATTGCGTTGCTTTTCAGTTCTTGGGTGATGCGAACAATCCTTCGAAGCGTTAGGTTGATGAGCGATTCGTGACTCAGCACGCGGCAAATGCGCATGGCCCAGCGAAGCCGGGTCATGCCACAGAAGGAGGAGCGCCCTGGGACAGCTGGGCGATCCGACTGGTTATAAATACTCTAATTCTTGAATGACAGAAGGTTGACTGCTCGCAAGCCCAGATCCGATGTCTATTCAGATAAAAATCTACTTTGTATGGGCAACAGTTATGTGATGATGCTGACAAAACAACGAGAGATGAGTCATGAAATCTACAAATACAAATGTTCAGACGGCTTATGAAATAACTAATTCATAGTTAGAAACAGCTCCGTATGAATGAAAAAAGCGTAAGCCACGAGTTCCAAGAATTCATACGAACAAGTTGCTGATAACAGATTGATATAATCGTTTCTATCAACACACTGCGCTGACAAAAAAGAAGGTGAGGTGTTCGAGGTGAGACCGCTACTTCGACGCACCCTGGTGTGAACTGAGTAGAAGAAGCTAACACTTCTGGCCTCGTCAGTAAGTCGCGGGGAAATCGTCGTTGACGACGATCTCAGTGATGGCATTCATAGAAGTTGGCTCCACTTCTTTGCCTTTTTCTAGTTGCCGTATCGTTTATGCAAATTCTTGCTTTCTTCCAAATTCATGCAATGGTCGAAGCCAACCTTTTGATCCATTCTCATAGAGTCCCAAAATGGGTGCCGAATCCAAATTGGCAGCAGCAGTGGTGCGGTACTCCTTTCTAAGTTCGGCTTCGCTTGCATCATGCATATGAATTCCACATATTTGAAGGGTCTCTTAGTGCGCTTGTTACAAGGACTGTTGAGAAGTGGAATGTAATTAGAGTGTACAGTGTGGATGTGAGTTGCGGAGAAGACGTAATGAAAGTAACGTTTGTAGGGATATCAGATTAGGAGGCATTTTTAAATGTGAATCTCTCTTCTTGAGTAGCATCAGATCGCGCTTTCCACATTTTCCCAGCATTAGTTTCGTTCAATACCGTCTTTCAGACTTGCATTACTACAGACTTATGCTTCCTATAATTCAAGCAGGAGCGTTGTCTGAAGGGATCCTGGCACAAATTCTTGTGACACTATGCAGCGTCACTTCTATTTCTTCATTGACTTTGGCCATGAACAATTTTGTTTATAGATATATCCAGCTATGCAAGTAAGAAGCAGATTCTAGCAAAGTAATCCCCAAGGGTGTAGGTTAGGACTCCACGAGAGGTCACGGCTGCCATGTCTCGCCTCGCCGCGCGCGGCGATTGCAACTGATTTTACGAGAGCAACATGGTCGTGCGATTAAGATCCCGGTCCCTTCACATAGTTCTGGCAGTCCACCGATAATCTGCTTATGAATTTCCAAACGCAGAATATTCAATGGACGACAGTACTTGTTTGAATGGCCAGCGTGATACTTATCGAGCGGGTTTGCTGATTTTCAATAGGACGCTACTTTTACCGTCTGGCCGAGAATCTTAAACCTTACAATATCTTACAATTGAGGCCAAAAGAAGGATTCACCCTGAAAAGAATTTTCGTAGATTGCTGATGTATTCTCTAAATATTATTTCTATGTTAATGGGCGTTGTTTTATACTAGTAGTTGAATATCGGGCCCATTCCTTTCATAGCCTTCACACCTGCAAGTATAAAGCAGACGGTTGGAAATCTCATGAACTATGCAAATGCAAAAAATACATAGCGAAAGCATCGCGGAGAGCACCTCCGCGGCGGCGGCAGGCTGACCTCTCGTGGAGTCCTAACCGTTCCCCATATCCCAACACGGAAGATTTTCATGGAATGCTCTGGAGTACCGAGTTCTTCTTACAATAAGACCCTACGGTCCTTCAAAAAAAAGATTGGAAATGAACCCTTCCCGAGTGCCGTCGCAAGGGAGGTCTTTGAGGTCGTGGCGCGTTTTTTAAAAATGGTTTGTTGCTTGTTGTAGGGGTCCATGCAAGGTTTACAAAAATGGGTTTCATTTTTGCTATGCGTTTCTGGGGAGGTCAAAAACTGAGTGAGAAAACAATTTGACGCTCAATTTGGGCTCTGTGTAGCTGTACGACTGTTGCATAGTGCAAGCATTATGAGGTGTCCTTCACTCACTATGTATTGAAAAGATAGCAAAGTAAAGCCAATAAGAAAGTGGACGGAGGGGAGTAATACCGAAGTTACTTGAACGATTCTCGCAACCGCTGTTTCGCGGTCGGCGGATGGCGGAGTGGATAGTGCGGTGGGCTCTCGCGAAGAAAGGTTCTTGGATCGATCACCTTCGAACGGTCTATTTGCATTTTTTCGGATACTTTATACGTTTTTCGGTTTTGGATTTACGACACCCATTTTTGACCACGGCGCAGCCTAGCGCCGACTTGCTGCAAGAGCATTCTTCCACTGAATTGTTGGCCAACCTGCGCACGCAGGGGCTGTTAAGCGCTCATCTCGAGGAGAAAATTTTTGCTGAAAGTCTGTATATAGAGGTTATTAATGGCCCTGATGACGATTCTGACCTTTAAAATTGGCGTCTAGGTCAGTTGGCACCAACCTGACTCTGGATACCCCCTCACGCCAGCTGCGGGTTGGGATGTTGTGAGAATCCCTTGAGAAACTACAATGCTGCCTCACTATGTGCCAAATAAAGTACTTTTTACCTTGAATTGTATTGTTTTCGATGCAGTGTCGACGAAGGTCTCATCTGCTATGCATACTTAACATTATGAATAGAAAAAGCCTCGGAAAAATGGTTCAAAATCGCTTCTCCCCAGCAAACTTTGCACTAAAGGTTTTGAACACTAAATACCCAGAAACGCATAGCAAAAATGAAACCCATTTTTGTGATCCTTATTCGGACCTCTACAACATGCAACAAATCATTTCCGAAAAGCGCGCCACGACCTGGAAACCGTACTTTGTCCAGTGCCACTTTTTGTCTCAGTCTCATACGCGCTGGAGAGCGAATTGTTTTTCCTCTGAAAGGCTTTACAAGTTTCGTGATGTAACGATTGCAGAGCTCGTTTTCTGTATATCTAATCATTTCACGAGAGTGGGCAATGGTTATCGTTTCATCAGATGTAGGCCGATTAGATTGTAAACTGGATCAGCCTGCTTTACGTCGTTCTTTGTCCAACGCCGCTTGTCATACAGTATACAAGAAAGTATATCTCAAAAAATTACGGTGTAGATGCGACACGGAAGGCGTTTCTAGGATTAATATGGAAGGTTCGCTGTTTCTCGCTCTACGGGATAGTCTTCAGTTCCTTTACGACAGTTGACGACATCATTCTTGTACAGTGACGCATACTTCCTCGTGCATTCAGGAGACATACCTGGTGATTTGATACAATATTGTTTTCAGTACATAACCACCAATCGCGTTTGTTTATTGAGGAGCTTTCATAGTTATACATTGGCACTGGTACAGTTTGGAGGCCTTTGTGCTTGGAAGATTGATCGATGCTTGAGAGTGAATGCAATGAGCCCTCAAACGAAGAAGATTCACCGGCACATGCTCTTGATGCTCATTTTACAGGTTTCCACGTTGTTCTTTTGAGAGCGTAGGGCTCACATTGTTTTATTGCAGTGTACGCGAAATCCTCGACGCACCACGACATAAGCTGCTGTTTCAAAGCAAAATTACGGCCAGCAGAGTCACTGTGCAGAACGAATGAGACACCGTGCTTTCCCTCTGTCCGCACTAATGCCGAAAAACGATAATAAAAGAAAAGATAATCCGGAATAGATGTTCCTTCGGATCAGGGCTTGGGGGATCATGGCGCAAAAATGGACTGTGACCTTCAAGACTACAGGTTTGGTGACGGGAGCATCTGATCGCTACCCATCTCTCCAGCGATTCATTTACAAAAAAATTCTCCCCTCTTAAAAAAGATCCAGATACACAATGTAGCAAAATCGTGCAGAGTGGAAAGCCTAATGAGGTTTTCATAGCCTAGTCCCGCCCAAAGAGCCCGCCCTTGCTTTCGTCGACTGCAAAGAGCTCTGTTGAAACCATAAGTTCCAGAGCCATACGGAGTCTGCGTGAGATAGTAAGCGCGAAAAATGGAAAAAGTGAAAATCCTGAGAGGCTGCCCCTCGCTTTTTGCTCATTTCTATCCTGATTCAGAAAAAAGAATAGAAAAGAAAGGCCATTAGGTTTCACCCACCTTTCCTCGAGTCAAAACAAACTCTGGTACCTAAATCAATTGCAATTTAAAGAAAAAAAAACAGGAACAAGCCAATTCCTCCTAAGAGCACTCTGAGCGGTCCAAGCAAAATTGCTGGGGCGCGCTCTGACGTGTATTCGAGTAAACTAGAAGAAGATAAATATTCGATATTCGAATAAACCGAGAAGAAGATAAATACGAAAGAGTAAATACGAACGAGAGCAAACCTCGAAGGCCGAGGTACCGGGGGAGGGATTCTGTGCAGGACCAGCCATGTGGAACGCGAGTTTTCAGCAAAGTGGGGTGTCTTTGAAGGACCATAACTTCCTCAAAAGCGGACCTCTGGGAAGAGGAGACCGTATTCCCGTAGAGGAAGGTTTGCACTTTCTAAAAGTACTGCAACATTTATGAAGCCACAAAAATCACAGAGAAATCTGCCATGGGGATTGTTGGGGAGTGATTTCAGCTGAACAGGTTTGGATCAATTATATTTTTTCGGCAAAGAAACTCTCAAGCATGTTTAAACAAATCTGAGAACGGTTTCGAGTGTTTGAAGATTTTCTCTTTCTAAAAACTTCTTGAACTGTTTCTGAAGTTCTCGGGATTCATGAGATCTCGCGATGGGGATTTCTTGGGGAACACTCCCAGCAGCCGCGCGAAAAACCCGTTTCCTGTGTACCGTTTCAAGTGAGCGTGTTCGAATAGCCAGGAACGCATGAAAAACGTATTCTGTGGTATAGCAGGAGCAGAATATGGTTCGTTTTAGCGCCGATCACGCTGACTTTGGATGCGCCGCGCACTGGTCCGCGCAGAAGTGATGGGATGGTGTAACTTGTGCGTAATGTCTGTCCACGCGAGCAAATGTGTCTATAAGGTTCAGGGAGGTCCATGGCGAGCCTGTGCACTTGTTTACAGTGTTTTCCGTTGCGTATGATGGAGCATGTCCCTGTCGACGCTGCCAGATTCCGAGCTCCGCCAATTGCTGGACATCAAGGTAAAGGAGACCTACTGCTGGAAAACGTCTATACGGACGATAAGGTAGTCCTGTCTCGTGTCAAGAAAAGAAACAGGTTGGCTCAGCGCCAAGCGCGACCGCGGACACGGAGACGGGGGTGTTCGTCCGCATATCATTGGCTATCGCGAACTCAGAGTTGTAGTTGTACGTTTAGAGCCGTCCCCTCAACGACTTAAGGAGGTGGATGTCGACCTATTAATTTGCAGTTATTCAATAGTGTTTGATGATATAAAAAGTTTGTACAGATTTTTTGCATATTCCGAGTTCCCTAAAAAAGCGCAAGTTCCGGCTGCAAACAACAGGACAGCACATTGTAATTGCCGCTGTCGTTACTGGCTGCCTCTTGCGCTCACGCGTACGACCTCCGTGGCTCCGGGTGCGCCCAGCGTCTCCTGGGCCAAAACGACGCCAGTAGTGTTTGTGGGAACTCTCGTCAACTCAAACATGTGCCTCTGTGAGTGTATGTGTATGTGTGTGGAATTCGTTCCTGATATAATGGAATTTTACGCAATATAGCACTTATCAGGTCTCTTTAAGACTGTGTGTCGCGACTTTGCTGCTCAATGGTCGGACCCATTTTGTGCAATGTAATATGCTTCTTATTCACCGCGGCGCTCAAGCAAGTGTTCTGGAGTGCTACATTGTGGCTTGTTCATGTCTCGTTCCACATATTTTCTCCAGCAATTGTTCTTGTGTTTATGAAGGACTATAGGAATTATATTCTCATTGCACTACGCCTCAGGAAACCTAGTCAGATTACGAAAGTGACGGCTAGCGAGCCAAGATCGGCTCGATGAGGGCACAAATAGGAACTTTGTTGATCACTGTCTATTTTGTTTTATAATGCATGTCAGTTATCGTTCTAAAAAACTGTATTGGTTCTACATACGAGCGTCCGATCCATCATGAGAAAGGGTTGCAGTATGTGATTGCATAAGCTTGGAAAGCCGGCTGTTTTAGACTCTAGCAACCTCAAACGAATCGTGGTTGTAGTGATTGCAAAATTTTTTTCAAGGTCTTCCATACGCATTTGACCAAATTCAAAAGTGGAAAGCCTTATCGATCCACTTCTCATGGAATGACTGATGATTATCTATCCCCTTCCGAAAAAATGGAGGCAATTATCAAGCGACGCTTACTCAGGAGCAGCTCACACTTGCTATAATAATTCATGAATACTGTGGAGGAAGATATGAAAAAAAAATTATAGCTCACAATTGCGGATGTAGTTTGTTATGACATCAGTGACGTAGAGGCACTACCACTCGAAGGGTATATTGAAGCGAATGTTGAGGGTGTTCACCTAGGTTTTTTTCCATCTGCCTGCAAAAATCATCTTGGTTACTGTGGAAAGTTCTGGTAGGAAAGTTCGGGGTTCCAAATGCATGAGGACCTATACTTTTTATTAACCTAGTAATATGGGTGGAATCAAAGTGACTAAGAGCCTGTTAGGTTACCAAGTGGTATTATTTGCGCCTGCAGAGCTGCTTATATTCAACGATGGGAAAACTGTACATCTCCGATAACGTGTCTGCGAGCGAGTAGCAGTTGGGGGCTATCATTAGACATACCGGTAGAGGGATCATTAGTCAACGTGTTCCGATGTAGTGACAAATGCTTTCATGTACATAACACACAATGGGACATAAACAACTTATCTCCTATGTGAACGAAAAAACGAGCAGAAATTGATGGAAAAGGGGCAGTACGCAAGTGTAGGAATGTTAGATTAGCAGCGGCCTGGAAAAGAAATGGGTCATCTGTCCAGCCGTTCTAAATATCAAAATATTGCAGGCTTTCAAAAGGTGAAATGAGAGACCATCAGAAAGACAAGTACAACTTATAGCTTTTAGATCCACACGAGCTTTCAAATATTAGCTAGGACAAGAGGGGCCATCCAGATCGCTAGGACAGCTCAGCCATTTCAAAACAAAACCCTTCTGGAAATCAAGTACACAGAACAACCATCGTTGCCATGTTTGCCAGTCCACACGAGTTTTTTCTCTTGCAGGGAGGTCGTCCAGGCCATGGTGAGCTTTTTGGAAGCGGTTTCGTTGCATGATGTTGGAGTCCATCGCTGGAGCCAACAGAAATGGGGTTTCATTGTTTGCCGCAAAGATATTGGGAATGTCAAAAGAAGGCAAAAGGCACGCACAAGTCAAAAGCCGAAGTCAAAGAAAGAGGGCGATTCAGGGCGACTCGATTAGCTCGCGTTTTAGCTGTTGCGTTGAGGCGTGTATAGCTTTGCCAGATTAAACACTGGCATATAAGGCTTTTCGCGAGTACTGTTGACTTGGTATGTGTATTTAGTCCTAGTCTGAAGTTTTCCAGTAGAAACCCCCCCGCCATAGCTTCTTCAATGGCTGCGGGCAGCCTCATGCGCGCTCACCTATCGTAATGGACAAAGCTGTGGATAGTGCAAGAACGACTCTCAATCCAAAGGCAGTTTGCTGATGCGATTGCGCTCTTGGGGACATCTCTTTTCTTTTTTCAGATTCCGGCCTCCTTATGTTACAAAATACCTGATAATGTGTATAATCCACACATATGCCACTCAAGGGTTCATCTCATCCTACACTAACAGTGGTTGTACAGGGTTTTTTTTTTTATTGGTGTCATCGTTGTGGCGTAAGGGCTTTGTTTAGCGCGGCGATGTTGGCTTCAACTTCTTTGGCTCGTGGGCCAGTATTCAGCACCGTATATCGCAACTGGTCCTATATAGATCTTCGATTTGAGGCGATCTGGTATCGTCTTGTCGCAGAGAACGCCAGTCATAGACCGCCACTTAGACCAGACTGCACTCACACGTGCGCTCACTTCTTAGGCAAGACTACCGTAAAACGTAGATGTTGATCCGAGATATTTGAACGTTGTTGTTCGCGTGTAGCAGCAGCGTCCAGCGAACGCCTAAAGGACTGTATGACGTTCAATCTGAGTCCGAAGTTTGCTAACCGTTCAGTCCAAGCTTGCACTTGTTCCTCGAGACCATTCTTATCCTCGCAGGCCAGCATAACATCGTCAGCGTAGAGAAGCGTCCAGGGAGCCGGCTTCTGGAGGTCCCGTGAAATTCATGACGACAACGAAGAGCAGCAGGGAACCCATCGAAATGCCTGCTGGACTTCGCACTCGACTCGTCGGGCTGAAGTACAGGATGCGTACCCACTCAATCAGCTCTTCGGGAACGCCGTGCTGCCGTAAGGCATACCATATACACTGCTAAACATAACGATAGTTCCACCCGTAAATCTTGCAAATACAATCTTCTTACACGTGTTTTCAAAAACGCCAGTAAGTAGTCGGGCGGGAGTTTACGGAACTTTGTGTTCACGATGGCGAGATTATGGGCTTCTGCATATTCCAGATGCGTTCGCCATC